GCAAAGTATAAAGCATCTGCCTCCACGGCAAATGGTCTGGTTGGGTTTAGGTGATCAAGATGGGAGCTGAGACGAATCTCTACTTTAGGTGATCAAATACAGTCTGTAGGTCTGTAGACAAACAAACAATGCTCCTTAACATGGAAGTTGGGGATATGGGCGCCCACACCAGAGAACCCCTTGATAAATCTCCTATAGAAATTGGCAAAGCCCAGAAAGCGTTGTACTCTACAGACTTCTTTTAGCACTGCCCAGTCTGTGATGGCTGCCTCCTTACATGGCTCCATAGCCAATGCATTATGGGAGATGACATAGTCCAGAAACTGCACTGTGTTCTGGTCAAACTGGCATTTTTCCAGCTTGGCATACAGATGGTTCAGGCAAAGCTTTTTCAAGACACTTCATATGTGCTGGTCATGACGTACCTGATCCTCCAAAAAATATATATATATAGATAGATAGATATATATAGGAATATCATCAAGGTAAATGACGAACTGATCTAGTTTGTCCCAGAAGATGTCATGAATAAAATGCTGGAAGGTCGCTGGGGGATGCACAGGCCAACTGGCATGACAAGGTGCTAGAAGTGGCCATACTGAGTGCAGAAGGCAGTCTTCCATTCATCTCCCTCTCACACACATATCAGGTTCTAGGACCCACACAGATCTAGCTTCATAAAAAGTCAAGCAGAGCACAGATGATGGTCTAGGAGCTCATGAATAGCAGTTCCGAATGGTCACCTTATGAGTGCCCAGTAATCAATGCAGGGCTGCAAGAACCCATCCTCCTTCTTAACAAAGGATTGGAGTCCCTGCCTGGAATGTGGATGGTTGGATGAACTCCTTCTGCAGGTTCTCCTGCAGATATGTGCAAAGAGCTTGCATTTCCAGTTCAGAAAGGGCATATATACAGTGGAAGGGAATCTCAGCTCTGGACTGGAGGTTGATAGACAGTCATACCTCCAGTGAGGGGGCAGGGCATCCATGTTTCCTTTGTTGAATACATCAGGTGAGGTCATAATATTTGAGCAGTATCTTGACAGCGGCAGACTTGTCTGTGGCAGGTGTGTTTCACTGCTGTGAGCCTGCTTATGCAGAGCAGGGATTCCCCAGCTCATGGCACAAGCTGCAGAGAGTACTAGTCCTCTTACTGACTTCTGGGAGACAGGGTTGTGGGCAATACTGCAAGCAGAAACATATCCCTTTCTGTCAGTGGATGTTGGGGTCATGTGCAGGTACCTAGGGCAGACCGAGATGACCACAGAGCAGGGGCCCAAATTAACTCACACTAGAGGGTTTCCCGATGCCTATGGAGAGAAACAACTGTTAGGAGAATGGTTTGGCGAATTACGTGGCCCAAGGACAGGAGCAAAGCATCAATGGTTTCCACAAGATCCGGAAAGTTCTTGCACAATATTCAGAATATTAGGGATGCATTTGGCCTAGTATGTACCCAATTGAAGGGTTATTCCAGTCCAGCATGGAAATATATATAGGAAACTGAACTACTCTGCTTACTTGAGAGTAAAGGATGATCTTATGATTAAGGCTTGGCTAGGACTCAGGATATTAAGTTCAAAGCTCCCAGCTCTGCAACAGACTCCCAGTGTGACCCTTGATCTCTGTGTGCCTTGATTTCCTATCTGTAAAATGGGAGTAGTAATACTTCCTTTCTCCCACCCTTTGTCCAGATTTCCGCTTTAGATTAAGATCTTTGGGACAGGGGCTGTCTCCTTCTACACATAGATAGAACATCTCACATAAAATGGCCCAAACCCTGGGCCCTCCAGGTGCTACTGTAATATGACGAATATGAAACAAATACAAAATTAAAAGCCTCATTATAAAGGATTGTAGCCAGTTTTCAAAGATAATTTCATGTTTGAGTATCTACCACTACAAAGAAAGTTTTCAAGTTGATAGCCACAATGGGACAAGATTCTTTTCCTCCATCCTTCTATCGTCATCACATACATATGAGAGAAAATTTCCACATGAAGAAAGATAAAGCTCATGTTTCCCCTGATCATGGATGCATGCTCCTATTGTGTTGTAATGCCAGAGGCCAACAGAAAACGAGCTCAAGTTTCCAGCTCGAATTGCCAAAGTCCCATATAGATGCTAACATCACACCTATTTTACATTTGTTGTTGCTTTTTTTTTTTTGCTCTCTTATATACACAAGAAGCAGAGACTACTTCTTGGGCACACCTTGATTCTCAGAAGCCAGAATCATCTCAGGTATAACCTTGTTACGTACAAGCACTCCTAGATATTGAAAGTGCTCAGCATGAAAAGAAAAAAAAAGTTCCTTGCCTTTATAAATGCAACTCCAGTCCCTTTATTTCCTCTTGCTCTCTCAAAAGGACAGTACTGTACTGTAAGATACAAGTCTGTAATATTATAAGACTTTGAGTAAACTTCAAGGAGAGAGACTTTCAATTAAATATATATTTTCTTGGGTCAATTTTTATTCTTCATGCAGAAGTGTCAGTAGCGGAGTAGGCTGGAAAAACAGATCGAGAATAAAGGCACTTAGCAATGCCATCAATTAACTGTTGAACAGAGCTCTGAAAATGTAGAGCACTGTACAGTATAAAGCGCTAATTATTATAAGATACTCACACACCAACAGAAGCAATCAATTTAATGAAGCACATTCCCTTAACATTGCATTGCTTCCCACTAAGATGATCTTCTGTCAGAAAAGGAAACCAATCTTTGGTTGGCCCCGTACCTAGTTGAAAGCAGTACACCATATTGTGAGTGGGCACAGTGCCACACTAACAGATGGGTACGATTGTGCATTAAATTCCTGTTCAAAAAGCTTGAAATCTATCCAGTGTTTTGTACTTACACATAAAGAGATCTTAACACTGCCCCTCCTTAGAACAAGAATAAGGGTGAGTGTCCAAGTGACTGACTGACCAACCCACATGAGCTGGAGAAAAAAAAAAATCTTCTCTCCTGGAAGTTTTCTAGTCTTTTTGTATTGCACAAATATTCAGAATATGTATGATCAGAGCCTAAACATTCTTTTCATTCAGATTGCTGTGGTGGGTGAACACTTCTAAGTAATTCTGCATACTGCACACTGTGGAATTAATTGAGCGTAGGCTTTTCTAGTCATGCTAATTTTTTGTTCCTGTGTTCTCCAAGTGCCATTCTACCTCTGTCACATATCTACCAGCATCAGCAAACTGGCAGACAAGTCTCATATAGGGTCTTACTGCATACACAAAGTTGTCTTTATTTGATTTGGTACAGAGTGATTGCAAGGAAATACAGCATACACGTAAATGCAGGTCTGGAAGGGACCTCAAGAGGTCATCTACTCATCTCCCAAACAGAGACAGGATTAAGTATACCTAGACGATCCCGGACAGGAGTTTGTCTAACTTGTCACTGGAGGCTTTTAAGAACCTTTCCTGACATATATGTAGAAAGAGAAGGAAACAGAAAATACAAGATGGTGTCTGCACTATTCATTGTGAGAGTGATTGTGTAGAATTTCCTGATTAAGCTCAGTTTAGTTGGCATAGTCACAAGCTACACAAACATTTAGAAGTGAACAGCAACCATTAAAAATCATTTAAGTAGCCAATAGACTATCTTAGAGAAGTATTATAACAAAGTTGTTCTTCCACAGCACTCACAGAGCCAATAAATAGGGCCTTAGCCCCACCCAAATTTCTGGCAGAGGCACATTAAGATGCTTCAGCCAAATTTTCAATGCTCTGTACACATGTATAACTTCATAATCAGACATTAATGTATTCTTTTATAAACCTGTTAAATAGGGCCCCGAGATATTTTCTCAAAACAAAGTATCTGTACCACCAAATTACTTTCAGATCAAATACCATAGCAGAGCTCGCTTGGAAGAGTGTCTCTGAAAGGTCTCTGCATGTTAAAATAATACAGGTGCTGTGAACTAAAGCCTATGGGCCAAATTCAGTACACCTTAAACACGTTATAAGCTGGCTGAAACCTTGTCCTAAGTGGAGTTAAAACCTTGAGATTGGAGGGTGCATTTGCACCCAGCAATTAACAGAACTGTGATGATATATTAATCACAAACCTGCACCTAAGTAAAAAGGGTTATTTGAACCTGCCCAGGAGTCCTGGATTGTGTGAACACAGAGGGTTTTGCCGAGTATTGTTTTGCGTAAGGGGAGAGTGTATGTGAGAGAGAAGGCAAAACAGGACCAGAGAGAGAGCGCGCGCACCTGAAGAAATCCAAGGTGAAGCCTGTAAGTATGGTATGATCCCCAAGAGTAGTAGTCGTCTAGGTAAGGGTACTGACTGACAATAACCTTGGGCCTGTAGGCTAAGAAACTTCTCCTTTTGCCTTTGGCTCCTACTGCATTCAGAGAAGCAGGGTCTGTTTATTTACAAGGCATGTACCAAGGCTGCATTTAAAAAAAAAAAAACTCCATCAACTTTCTCCCCCAAACGGAACATTTCCTGGGCTCTGAACCTTAGTTAACTGCTTGGGTCAAAAGGGCACAATGCACAAATGCACAAGCACTTCCACTGAATTCAGAGGGACTAGTCATGTAAGTAAAATGAGCAGGACTTGGCTGTATATTAAAATACAAGTAAGGCTTATAAAGTTCATTCCTGTGTAAACAATCCCAGCATAATGTCGACAGGCAAGCCAAAAAGATTAAAAAAGGAAAGTTAGCCTGTCAAGTTATACCCTGAGATATAGCTGTTTAAACTGATTTATTCCTTTATGTTCATAAAAAATAAGCCTTGTTACAAAACAAATCTTTTACATAAAATGTGTGTCTAATGTACAACAGGAGTCAGGTATAGAGTTTCTCTCATTTCCTCTAGTGGCATGTTCCTGCTAAAACAGATCTTCTGTATTTCCAGATAATTTAAACAGCAGTAAAAATAGCTCAGGTCAACTTGATGGTTTAGTTTACTGTACTTTACAGAGGCTGTGAATAAAATAATAAATTACACAAAAGAGGCAAACATAATGCTTACTTTCTCTAAAGGCTTTACAGTAGCCAAGGAAAGACAACAAAAAGAACAGGGCACACAGCAGGTCTGCTCTGCCAACAATCCCTGCAACCTTTGAAAAAAGAAAAAGAAAAAAGGATTTACTTTGTTTTTGTTTATTATCAAAAATATTTTTTAAAGAAAATGTGAGGAAACGTAGAAGTATAATTCACTGAAAATATGAAATGGACATATAATTGTGTGTCACTTTTTCATTTCTGTAAATTGTTTTAATAAACTTTATAAGACCAAGGGCATTTTCCCTGATTTTGGAGGAATATTTGTTGGCAGAAGAAGCCAGTAGATGGCTTGGCTTTTACTCACTGAAAATTTGCTATTTTAAAAAAAGGATTGTGGGCATGATCCAAAGTCTATTCAAGTAAATGAAAAGACGGCCATGGATCAGGCCGTATATTTGTGTAATTCTTGGACCCTAGCAAACTACAGCTGCGGCACCTCAAACCAGAAATTTAAAGAATCTCAGCTTTCAGAAAAGTACATTTCAAGCTCTGTGAAGACAGCCTTTGACCTGTAAGCCAAAGGGAACCAACTGTTCATGCTAACAAGAACAAGCTGAGCTCCACTTATTACAGCTGAAGGGAGAGGGTGGAAGAGGACCTAAAGATCTTCCCCCAATCTCTATACACATTTTTTATATCATCTGAATCAGTTACATGTGGGGTGCCTTCCAAAGAATCACCTGGTCTCACTACCAGTTCTGCTATGTTGCGGGGAGAACCCCACGCAGGGGGTTTGCACCTGTAGATCCGTATCCAAAGCCCTGGAGTCCTTCCAGTGACTTCAGCAGGTTTGGCTCAAGGTTTGGCTCAAGTCTTTAGAGTGCTGGAGCCCAACTTTGCTGGAGCCTCTGTGCACAGATCTTTGGAAATGGGATTGGACCCACCAGTTCTTCTCCTCCCCACCCCCTCATTTAGGGAGGGGACTCAAGAACTACAGAGGCTACTCAGGCTATGCTGCTGCTCTGCCATTTTTTCGAAGAGCAGAAAAAGGTGAATTCCTCCCCCACTTGCCTCACTGCAGTTCTCTAGTCTTCTCTTGGGCAAGGCACGGGGTTCAGACTCTGGAGCAAGCCTGTGCTACTCTGACATGAGTAAACTGCATCACTTAAATAGAATTTTTGAGAGCTGAAAGGTCTAGTGGTTTGAGTGCTGGACCGGAAAACTGATCCAAAGCTCGCTGAAGTCAATGGAAAGATCCCCCGATTTCAAACGAGCTTTTAATTCAGGTCTTACGGGGAAGAAACTGCTGAATTCTAATTCCAGATGGAAAAAAACCCTGTGTGGCTTTGGACAAGCCACTTAACCTCTGCCTCAGTTTCTCTATCTGTAAATTAAGGATACTAATACTTCTCTACCTCATAAGGGTGTCTGAGGATTAACTCAATGGTTGTAATGCGCTTTGAAGGTGAAAGTCAAAGTGCTGTTCTGTTTCAGGAACTGTTATCAGCTAATGACATAAAATAATCAATTCTAGAAATAAATGTCAATGTGTTACAGCAAAAGGCCTGGTGCTCTAATACCTGCTGTCTCATTGACTTCAACAGCACTCCTTGTGTGAGGCAGAGGTGCAGGATCAGACCCATAGCCTCTGGTCTCAAGGCAACACACAGTTTTAATTTTACGATCAAACTAGCTATCAAAGTTCCATGCAATAGGTAATATTTTATCACTTACATTTGAACAGGAAGAACACACACATTTTTTGTTTTTTTAAAAAGACAAAATTATACAGCAGTAGTACTTACCTGCTATTCAGAAAAATCGTACTGAGATAACAAATTTTATCTTCAGACATTACCAAGACTAAACTTTTCAATATCCATTTTACATATGAAAGCTTTTAGATTCCTTGTTTTTGAACATACCAAAAATCAAAACAGGAAACTGACAAACTCTTCACAGTTATTATATGTCAAAACATGCCATCCAATTTTAGAGACAGGTTGTCATGATTTCAAAGCAACTGAGTTTTCAGCCTCATGGGAGGTGCTGTTTGAAGGGTGAGAAATGCATGCGTGTGTGTGCTGGAAGCACACAATGTCTTGATTGTTACAATTAAAAATATTCAGTGTAAAAGATTTACAATTCATTGTTTAGCAGATTAAGTGCATCTGTGCACCATCTGATCTTAGAAAAGGAGTGTTTATTTTCATCATGCTAGGTTCTTCTTTCCAAAATATAAACAAATTTTATAGTTCCCAATCCTGCAAGCTCATTACACAAAGAGACCCCCCTGAGCCCATGCAGATTAGCTTGCAGAATTGGGGCCTTAGTATCATTTAGAGCCCAATTTAAACAAATATATGCAATACTTTATATCATCAAGGACTAGGTGGTAGTTCTATTGTTCAGTCTGCACTGAGATTTCACAGATTCCCAGGTGCACAGAAGCTGCGCTCTCCACCACCTTTTTGCCCCACATCTGGTCTTTGGGACAGCCAGGAGCAGTTTTCACCCTCATGTAACTTTACACTGGTAGCCATGGTTCTTTAGATTGTCTAAATGCAAAATGCTCTGGTCATACCCCTTACTGAGTATGGGGGACAGGAAAACCTGATGTAGAGCTTTGTACCTAAGGATTCCCCCGCACAACAGCAATTCCCCAGCAGGCTGTTTAATACAGTTGTCCCTTTCTTCTTCACCATCAGCATTGTGGAAAAGGGATGGAACAGGGCCAAGGATCTGGCTCAAGGTGGTGGAGTAAATCCCTGTGCTATGTACCAAACTTAAGAGCACTTACTTTTAGGGAAGAGCCTGAATGTTAGAATTAAAACTTTTTAGTAATTTACAATGGAGAAGCAGTTAAAATGACTCTTGTTGGATTATGAATATTCCAGTTTTTAATTAAAATATTCCCATTGATAGAGAATCCAACACAACTCTTGGTAAAATTGTTCCGATGGTTATTGACCCTCACTGTTAAAAATGTGCACCTTAGATCAGTCTGAATTTATCTAGCTTCAACTTTCAGCCACTGGACTTTGTTATTCTTTTTTCTGCTAGATTAAAGAGCCCACTATCAAATTTTTGTTCTGTATTTTTATTGCAGACTAATCAAGTCAGTCCCTTAATCTTCTCTTTGTTAAACTAAATAGATTTAGCTCCTTGCTTCTATCACTATATGACTTGTTTTCCATTCCTTTAATCACTAGCATGGCTCTCTTCTGAACCCTCTCCAATCTATCAACATCTTTTTTGAACTGCAAACACCAGAACTGGACACTGTTTCCAGCAGTTGCTGCACCAGTGCCAACTACAGAGACCATATAACCTCCCTACTCCTAGTTGAGATTCCAGTTTAGTAAAAGCAAAAAAAAGAAATTAACAGTGATTAAGCCATTGCATACAGTTTATTCACGCCTCTCCTCTACTGTTCATGAGATAGCATGCCCAACAATGTATTCTTTATCCACTAACTAAAGATGGATGACCTGAAACAGAATGTATCTATTGCACTTTACTTGCGCTGAAGGATCACTAACTTGTGAGCATATTAACCATATTATTATATAACTCTCAATGTAATACATGCAAAGCTGTAATAATAGATACTCTATGTAGTAATGACAGATACAGTATGTAACTTATAGGAGTGTTCCATGATTAGAGTTGGTCATGAATTTTGCAGATATAAAACATTATACAAAGATCTAAGTATTAGGTACTTACACATTCAGTATGCACTGGATGCACAGCAAACAGTGAAGCAGCTAGAAGAGATGCTTTTGGAGCAAGGTTTAGCCTTCTTCCTTTACTGCTGTATTGCAGCCCACCCAATAATATTGAGAAGACATCAACCATTAATACAGAGATAGCACAATGCAGTATTATATTGATGACGTGAAAACCCACTGGGTGAAAGCCTCCAGCAAAAAGGTAATTCATTCTACATAAAAACAAAAACATTGAGATTAAGAGTCAGAGGAGAGCTTGGAGACACACAAAGAAAAACTAAACACTCCTGAAGAAAGAGAAGTAGCCTCTGCATGAGAAGCTTAATATTAAAAGTACATTTTAAATAATATCTAACACACCCACCTTACCATGGTTCTATCTCCAAGCATCCCTGTAGGCTCCTAGCCTAAGGCTACCAAGCCCTGATCCTTGCCCAGACAGAGGATTTCCCTATGGAATAGCACCCATACCCTCACACCAGTCCCAATTTGCAGCAGTCACCCTTTAATGCACCACCACTACCTTTACAACATCCCAAATGGGAAACACAGCAACTGTGGCTGCTTCTCAGCTGGTGCCATAACTTTAAAGTTGCATGACCGAGTAGTGCTCTGGGATGCAACCTTGCGTAAAATTAGAAAGTTGGAGAGTCCTGCAGAAAAGCAGAGATAGTGTATGCACATGAATGTTCCTGGGGGTGCGAGCAGGAAGGATGGTGTAAGGTGAGAGTGTTCTTTCAGATTAAACCTTAAAATAAATGTTTAAAAAAAAAAAGCCCACACCATTCACACACTGAGGTTCTAACTGACTTGCACAGACACTAAAGATCCCATGACACTTTCAGTTTACCAAAAAAAAAAAAGATGTCGCAGGATCCTTGGCCAAAACTTTTCCAGTGCGCATGGCCTACTCACTGCTGGGTTTTCACTCTCCACCCCAGTGGTGGCTGCATTTCAGTTGTGCTCCACACATACAGTTAAGTGATGTACCTTGGGATTTTGCACAATGAAAAGGCATAACATAAATAATTATTATTTAAAGGGTGTATGTGGAAGCAGCATTCTTTCACGGACAAGGAATGGGAGTGCAGGTGGAAAGGGGTCAGGAAAGTAGGCTGGAGAGGTATGTGAAGAGGGAATTCGTACTGGTCAGGCTGTTTGGATAAAGGTTCAGTGTAGGAGCTTATTCTGGGTAGCAAAGCTTGAATGGGAAAAAGTGTACCACAATTTTCTGTATAATATAAGCAATACGCTAAAATCATACAGAAACTTAATTTAGATAATGGATATCACCTAGTACGTCTAGCCAACCTGCATCTGGCTTAAGTGGAGTTCATTATGATGATCTAACCTGTTATAAATGTGTAATACACATAAAAGCAAAGTCTTAAGGGAGCTAGGGAAGGCCAATTTCTTACTTGAGGAAACAGCATTTTACTGGCTACCTCCACGTGCTCCTCTACGGTTTCAGATTTTTCAATACTTGTGTGTAAGTTTTCTGTTTAAATTAACCAGGGTGTTATTGGAGTCAGAATGAGCCTCAAAGGCCGTAAGAGGAAAGGAATCATTTTATAACGTATGTTTTATGCAATATATGGAAGCCTGTAATAGGCATTTCAAACACCCAGACATTTACATTATTTGTATTACAGTGGTGCCTAGATTGGACTGAGATTGGACCCCATAGTGCTAAGCGTACAAACACATGGTCACAGCCCTTCCTTGACCATGCAGGGGAGGAAAGGGAAGTAAGGCCCCATGCAGACCCTGCTCTCACTATTACAGCTGGAGTCACAAATTGAGCAGAGGAATACTTGCCCAATACTCCCTGCTGAGAGCAAGTGGGTGGGGAGGAGTCCTGACTCAGCCCCCTTTACTCACCGGGGGTAGTGGCTGGCCAGGCTCACAGCACGCAGTTCCATGACAAGGGTGAAGTTACTTACTTCTTTCCCAGGCAAATGGATGGAACTCGACAATATACGTTACAAAGATACGTTAATACATAGCAGGAAAGTATATTAAAACTGTGTGTTCTGGGGCGGGCAGGGGGGAAATAGTTAAAAAACAACTGTCAAGCTGAGGTTAGGATAGATGGGCAGAGATCAAAATGTAACCGAACCCCAGGAAAATGAGAACAGAGCCCATTTTTGTTTAGTTTTAGACTTCTTATCTGACTGCATTTTAGCACCTAGATTAGAAGCTACTATTATTGAGGTTCTATATATAATTAAGATAGATTGATAAACACACAGAGCTGGGCACATTGATTAAAAACTAAAACAAAGCTATACATCAATCAAGATGTATACAGTTCAGTCTACTTCCACCAAAGGATTCTGGTGACATGAATAGATTTCTCTAGCTACATTCTTACTGTTAAATATTACAGCACCTCTTGCCATAGGAAAAAGAAGGGAAGAAAAAACAGAACGAAAGGGAGAAGATCATAGAAGGGTCTTCAGACCTTAAACTGAGAATTTGTGGAAGCTGCTCAGACATTACAGTGATTAAAGAGAATTACAGAATCTGAGGTGGGGATACTTGTCTTGATATGTTAAACATGACTCTGGAGTAAATTTAAGTAGGAGGTATTATATAATTTATATTAATTATATAAACAATTATGATTCCACTTTTATTCCTACTGGGCAGAATTTACCCTTATGCATAGCACCAACACAAGGTCTATGCATCAATTAAATCCCTTGTGCTGGCCCTCTGCATAACGGTGAATTTCACCCTTTGGTTCCGAACCTGCAACAAGCTGTGAGACGTGGGAGTTCACCAGCATGGAGCTTATTGCACGATCAGGTCTTTGGAGCTAAGCAAGGTAGTAGCTGTACTGCAAATAAGCTGTAGCAGAAGTTTTACTTCCTCAAAGTCTCTTGTTTTCCAAAACAAAAAAGTCAGTTAACAAAATAAACCCCCAAACCTAGTACTCTGGGCACGACACCAGGTCTCACCTGAAAGTCAGGACAGTAAGTGGTCGATATGATTTGTGGCTGGTATTGCTGCTGAGTTTGCCACCCCAAAAGTCATGATGCCACAGGTCACCAAGTGGAGTTTCTGCTCTGAGGTCCTGAAAGACCACACGTTTAGCACCAACATTAACAACATTTCAGTTTAGTTAGAGCAGCTGGAAAGAGAACAGTTACATACAAAGCAAACTGGCACCACCATGACCATATTTTATAGACAACATTTTCTATCAAGTCTTTTAGTGACTGGCTACTGAAACCTGATTGATAGTTCCAAGTCTTTTCAATACCCTCTTGTATTCCTTTAATTATTGTGGACTAGATGCTCAGATGGCATAGATCAGCATATTTTTCCTGAATTTCAATAGAGCTCTGCTAAGTTCCACCAGTTGATGTTCTGACCCAATAGCTCTAGTGTAAAATATATCTTTATACCATCTTTATTTTTGTAAAATATCTTATTTTAGAGCAAGGATCTTTGGAGATAGGAACACAAGCTGTTGCAAATTGCCATTTTGCCACTAGCAACAGTAGGAGAACCATTAATGAAAGCACTAAAGATAGCTCTTCTTGAAATCCTGTTGGGTGGCTTCCTTAACTTCCACATAACACCACTCCACTAGCGCGCTTTGTTTCTGACATATTAAACCTATCAGCAAGTTCCTCTATGTACTGCTCTACACAGAAATGAATAGTAGTAGTTAGGAAAGGAATTTCTTAGGTACCATCATGAAAGAAAAATAAAATCACAATTTTTAAAAACTACAAAATGGAAGTGTACAGTTTGCTTAATCTCATAACTGAGATAATAAAGAAGTAATTTAGATTATTTCAACTCTAAATGGTGCCATAGGCGAGACTACGTGAAAATCTGAAGAACACAGATGGACATAAAGGCAGCTCCCCCCCCAGCTCCTTTTTTTTTTTTAAAACACATATTAGATACTCATCTACACAGCCTCAGAGAAATTTCTGTGGAGTAGCACAGCATGCTTCATATTCATCAATAATTGAAACTGCTGCACTGAGAAGGCCACCTTACTTCCACCGAGCTGCCATACCTCTCCTCCACACACATACAGCGTGCCAAATTCTGCTCTGATTTATGTTAGTGCAACCTCATGGGGTATAAATGAAAGCAAAATGTGCCCTTAGTTTGATCCAAAACCATGAGGGCACCTAAGAGTGAGATATCACTACCAAAAGAATAACTTCAATAGGAGAACTGGTACCATGGGTGCAATCAATTATAGCTTATCTTATTTCCCATTCAACTAACACAGTAGTAAAAAACCAAACCAAACAAGCCAAAAAGCCCAAAACTCTGTACCACCACCATTACCACATGAAGCCAAGTACAGTACTTTCTAAAGGATTACTAAACAATAAGTAGGTCCATGTCTAGCACTGAATTCAGCAGGGATGTATAGATTGCAACTCCATTGCATTTCTATATCTGAAAGAAAAGACGGTCGTGTGATTAAGTCACTGGACAGGGACTGTAGAGACCTGAGTTCAATTCTCAGCTCTGTTATAGACTTCCTCCATGATTCGCTGTAAGCCACTTAAGCCTGATTTTCCATTCCATCGCAATTGTTTGCTATTCACTTGTCAGTATATAGAACATGCAAAGCTATCAGAAAGTTGAATATATTTCTTAAAATATAAAGCATTACAATTTGAATACAATCTTGACATAAAAGAGATGGTATCAACAACACGAGGTAAAAAATATATTTGTTGTGTGCTAACAGAGATTTTTAACCACCATGGGAAACACTACTCAACATCATTATCTTCAGAAAACAGAACGCAAACTATAAAACAGTCCTGCATGGTCTCTAAGTGCTCCAGTTAGGAAACAGTTTGCACAGTTTAATCAGAGTTTATTTTTTGTCTTCAGTAGGAAACAAGCAGGCAAAGCAAAATATCCAGAAATATCTTGTGATTCAATTTCACTTACTTATGACCTGAATTCTCCAGAGCTCAGAACTGGTGAACTTGATCACCGAGCACTGGAAGTTTGGAGAAAGCTAAACTCAACTAAAATAGTCTCTTCACCTTCACGGGATTACACTAAAAAAAACCTGTTTGCTTTTCCTTAACTGTAAGGACTTTGCATCTATTTGAAAAGTTATGAATGATTTCCTCCACTGAAATAGAAAGTGGATACCTAGGGAATCCCTAAATATTTGATTAGCAGCAGCCTATGCACAGTAGAGTGCAGTACTTGAAGAAGGGTCAGTTCTTCTACATAATGGCTTACGGAAAAGATGCATTGTGTCTGAAATTCCTGCTAACCCAACGATTTGTTTTGCCAATAAATAAATAAAGACAAATCATTGTTGTGCACCAGTAAAAATGTGTTTTTAAATGACAAGGAAGCATCTGGAAAACAGCCCTGAACACCAGTAAAATCCAATAACTGAATGCGCCACAACACAGTAGGCATGGGGCCAACTAACAACGGATCTTTCATTAAAAAAGGAAAGTGGGGGGAGGGCTAGCAAGTTAACAAAAAAGGATCACAGCGTGGTACCTAAGAAAACATTGGCAAAGCAAGGCTCAGTAGATCCACAGAATGCCTTCATCAGCTGTATTTCACATGAAAATAAAATATGGCATGCAGTACCTTGCTTAATAAAACCAGTCTTTATTATGGTACAGTACTTTCACTCCCCACCAATTCATAACCTTTCATCTCCCCATTTTTGGTACTGATTTAATATTTCTACATATTTATCCTGCCCCTTATTTAAAAGGTCCAGTGGCATCAAAATCCCATTCAATTTCTAAAGGAACATGTCAAGATTTAGATAGGGAAATAAATTAAACCTCCATATTTTCAAATGAAGGCTGAATAAGTAAGAATGAGGTTATTTAAGCAATTGATTTAGTTTCTTCTCCTTGCCTGCAGCCAGAATTTTAGCAGCTTTTTCATTTGCGTGCATGTTGGTAAACTGAAACAATAACATTTGTCAGGTAAAAATGTGGAAAGAAGTGGAGGAAGATTACAAGTGTGGAAATTGCACTGAAACAAACTACATCTACATTGCCTTGGATTAAATGTCAGTTTAAGAAAATGAAATTGCATCATTATCCTTCAAATAAAATTTGCAGAACCAGATTTTCCCAGGAGATGTGTCATTTTACAAATACAATACATTCTATAATCTCTGTATGTATTTACACTTCCCCCAACATTTTTCTAGCTTAGGATACGGCTGACTTACTCAAGCACACTACACATTTATTTAAGCAACAATAATTCAGTAGGATGCTGAAAGACAAATTGCAGCAGGCTACCTCTATACTTTCTGTTGTGAAAAAAAATACTGTAGATTATATTTTTTCCAGAAGGTTTTTTGGCCACCACTATAGTATTGTTCTCTTCATTCTTTTGGTGTCAAGAGAGTAGAGTGCATGGGGAGAGACACTTTCTGTATCTATTCTTTTTTTTTTTTTGCTTCTATGTGCCTCTCTAACCACCTCTACCACTCATACCTCCTAGATCGGACTAGGACCACTGGAATAAGGCCAGGCACCCTTGGAAATTGTTCAATGTCCCCTTGGGAGGCATCTCAGGAACTCAGGACACTCAGTATCTTGCAGGATCACACCTTAAACCATCTATTTTAGGATTTAAACCATCTATTTAAACCCTTAAACCATCTACTTTCGGATGGTTTAAAATCAAGTAGCTTGAAAACTGGCTAAGGGATGTAAGCAACGATTGGCTAAAAATTTTTCAAAAAGTACAAGATTCGCAGTGCATTAAAGACTTTTTAAAAAAGCAAATACTTTCTTAATATTATTTTCTACTCAAACAATTGCTGTAGCTGCCACAGGAATGTTACAAGAGAGATGGTCCACGAGACACTCTCTCCGTTAGGCTGTGGTTTACCTTATGAAAAAACCTTGAGAACCCTTGCTGAGTGAAACTCACCGTCAGCCCATCCTGCAAACACTTCTGCACAAGAGTAACCTTATCACCCACTGGAGGCAATGGAAAGTCTCACACTGACTTCAGTGGGGCTTCTTAGGACTGGGTCCTAAGGACCATAATCTGAATTCACTGAAGTCTATGGTAAAAATCCCAGGACCAGATCCACAAAGGGATTTAGGTGCTTAACTACCATTTTGAGAGCTTAAGTTCTACCTTATAGTTACCAGTGAGATCCTCAAAACCCCACTCATCTGCTGCCTAACCCTGGAGGTGCTGAAATTCCATAGGTGCCTAAATTTCTGTCAGTAAAATCCCTTAGGCACCTAAATTTTTGCTAGTGAGTATCCACAAAACAGCCTCAATCCTGATGATGCTGAGCTGCTCAGTTCCCTAGTTCATACCTAAATCCTAGTGGAATTCTCAGACTAGGTGTTCCCCCACCTAACTCATATGTGGGGACCTATCCAGTAGGCCGGCTCAGAGCACACCTAGCAGATCTAGTCAAAAAATGACAGCTCGGGGACAGCAGGTCAGGATTTTTTGGAGTTGTGCATGTGTCTCCTTATACCCAATAGCCCAGTTGTTAGAGTACTCACCTGAGATGTGGGGGACTCAGGTCTGAATCCCCACTTGTCCTGATTTGGAACAGGGACTTGAACCAAGATCTCCCACATCCCAGGTGAGTAACCTAATTGCAAGGGTATTGGCAATAATGGGATGGAGGGCTCTCACTCCCTGATTTTTGCACAAGCAAGGACTGACCTGACTTGGATATCTAATTCCAGGACAGGGTTCATGTCTGTGAATCCTGAGCAGAGGAAGGTACCTCCCTCCAGTGCCGAGTTAGGAGACCTAACCATTTTTGAGCGGCAGGATTAAGCCCTGCCCCTCTCCTTGGCATTTTATACTGCCTACTTCAGGTGACTCCCTGCTCACTTGCTGGTTTCTGTGAATCCCTTCCTTAGGTTCCTGACTCTCTCCATACAATGCATGGGAAGCCTGGGTGCCTAACTTAGTTAATTCCACTGGGCGCCTAAATCCCCTTTGTGGATCTAACTCCCAATGACTTTAATGGGAATAAGACTGGGTCCATAAATAGTCTCATGTACACACATCCACGTGTGGAAGTGTTTTCAGGATCAGGCCCCAACACTGTGCAAATTTAGCCAATGTCACCCTCAGTACACAGGTGAGCAAAACACATTACATTCAGAAAAGGTGGTGCTACTCTACCTTGATAACCATCAATGCTGGGCTGTCCAATGGATCTCAATTGGATAAAGAGAATTAAGCCAGGACAAAGTAATTAATTTGTTCATTACTGCGTCCTTGTTGGTGCACCAGCATCAAACCAAGTAGCCAATAAACCCTTGGGAATAAGGATTCATTAGATTACTTGTGCTCCTTCTGCTTGCTTTGCAACAAAGCAGCCATGCATAGTTTTTGTACAGTATTTACATAAATAGTGGCTTACTTTTTAAAATGCTTTGCAGAGACAAATGATCATTTTAAGAAAGGGAGGGGGTAAAGGAGAAATTCAACCCAAAATCCTTATTTTGCAAGGGTCAAATCTGGGGCCTAATTAAGTTGGCAGTATCAATTTAAATTAATTTTTTTCTACTACAATTTAAGTCAGAATAAACACAAACCTTATTATTGATGATAGCTTCAGAATCATCAAAGACAAAATCTCCATCGTAGCTGTTAGCAAAACACATGCAGGACATGAGTCCAACAATAATTTTAGCCCAATAAGAGGGAAGCACAAACCATGATATTTCATGATCCAAATTAAATTCTGACTGTGCCATTCTGTGAAATGCTTGTTTCGAATGTGGAGCTCCAGCATTATGTTGGCTGCAAATCTGAAAAAAAGAAAAAAAAACTGCAATGTACAATTACATTTAAACACCACTAGCTTTGCTTAAAGAAATGAAAATCACACCAACATGTTTTGCATAGGAAAACACGACACCTTACACCAGTGGTTCTCAAACTAGAGCCGGGCCAGTTTGTTTATCTGCCACGTCCACAAGTTCGGCCGATCGCAGCTCCCACTGGCAGCGGTTTGCCGCTCCAGGCCAATGGGGGCTGCAGGAAAGGCAGCTAGCACATCCCTCGGCCTATGTCGCTTCCCACAGCCCCCATTGGCCTGGAGTGGCGAACCGCGGCCAGTGGGAGCCGTGATCAGCCAAACCAGTGACACGACAGGTAAACAAACTGGCCCGGCTCACCAGGAGCTTTCCCTGAACAAGCGGTGGCCCTAGTTTGAGAACCACTGCCTTACATGAGTGATGAGATGTAATTCTGAAATCCATTAAGGCAAAACGGAAAATTAAAAAAATAATTATCAAAACCTCTTTGGACATAATTTTATATTTCACATTTGAGAAAAGTAGAAAAGCATGGTTGACTATGGTCTGAGCATAGAGTTGAGTTATAATCCTGACTCTGACACATGCTACCTCAAAAGCCTTGGGCAAGTCATTCTACTTTTTGAACTCAGTTTCCTTGTTTTTCAAATAAGGATACCACCACCCATTTTATAAACACATGCCTTGTGAGGATCAGTAAATATTTATAACGTTCTTTGAGGATGATGAATACCAGTTAGGGCACAATAAACCCAAAAAGAACTGTGTTGCTGCAACATGAAGGACCTAAGTTTGCAAGGACTCCATGTGTGGAACTCACAGGGACTTCAACAGAGTTGCATACAGTTCTTGGAGAACGAGGCCCTACAACTGGCATTCAAAAAAATCAGAGTCAAGAATAGGGTTGTAAGTTTGGGTTGGATGGATTTCTGGAGGTTTCATCACATGACAATCTTCAATTCCTGGAGACTCCAGGACAATCCTGGAGGATTGGCAACCCTTGTCAAGAAGCACAAACTTAAGATTCCAACAGCAAAGTTCACTAGGTCATGCAGCACGTCACGCAAATTTTATAATACACATCTTACTAACAGAAAGATAAAATAGGCACATAATCCAATATAGATTTAATAAGGAAAAAGACCAGTAAGTACATGTTGCAACCCAGATTTATTCATTCTGTCAAAACCTTAAGTTTTGCATTTCTTGACTTTATGATTTTACCTGTGGAACCTTAATGGTGGGTTTTTGCATTTGATCTCCTAGTTTTATTTATTTTAAAAGGAAAAAGTCAAGAGTTATTTGTCTTGTGGAGTTTACAAGCTATTCTGGCTTGGCAAACGGAACTGATAAAGTTCCTTGCTCTTAGGTGTTCAGCTTGCAGAACTTGTCAGTGTTACCAGTGGAATTCACACAAGTTCTTTGAAACAGTCTACAAATTCCTAACCTGTGTAGGTACACATGCGTGTGTGCATCCACGCACACACACGCTCCTGAGGTGTGCCCCTCAAGCCCTGTAATGTGGTACCCAATTTGTTGAGATGCAGGTGTGGAGTGGTATGGATCTGAGAAAGACCAAAAGAGGAAAATATTCAGAAGAAGCTATCTAACAGAGCTGAATAGGCCCACCACTAAAAGCAAAATATATTTTCAAATGTAATCCACTCCTGGTTTACAATCTAATGAAAAATTAAAAGTGTAACCCTTAATCAGAAGGAAGCACATACATTGCTACTAACAGCTTACATACTACAGTGATGGCCATTACAGAAATACTTAATTAAAACAGATTTCAGCAGCTGTTCAGAATTCCCCTTTCCCAGAAAGTTTCCCCTAACCTGGCTGCTTTTTTCCATTTTTCTCATTTATATTTGCCATAATTATTTACTAGTACCTCTATACAGGATAGCTCAATCTGTGGGGTTTTCCATTACAGGGACAGAACTGTTAAACACTCAAGCATGTTCCCTGAATATGGGGGAGAAACAATCATATATATATCACAGATGTTTTGTTTGTTTAAACGGGACCCAACTGTGTGCTTGATGCCAGGGGAGGATACCACCCGGGGTCTGACAACACCCACTCTCTTTTTGGTACAGGCACAGTGCATATTTCCATTTCACTGCTGTCTGGTGTGGCACAGAACCTAATAAAATATCATTCTAGGGGGCTCCTTTACATGTAGAAGGAAAGCTGCATATTTAATATTACATGCAACTCCCCATTAGATAGCTGGCAGCGTACCTAAACATACCGCTAGAGCTCAAGCTCCACTGTAACAAGAACAGAGGACTCGGATATTTGTGAATTAACGAGGCTGTGCCGTCTCAAACGGAATCAGCTGTTTATGCAGGTAAAGAAAACCAGGGATTCAGTCCTCCGCCTGGAGGAGAACGCCTCCGGCACTGTACAGACGAGGACACCCACACACGGTCCCGCTATAAGAATACAGCGGGCCACGAGCACTGTTTGAGGAACCAGGAAACTTACTCCTAGTTTCCAATCCCGCAGCGGGGAAAGGCAGACGCAGAGAGCTCGCCCTGCGCTCGCGGGGAGGAAGGAGGACTCCTCGGCTGGGGAAGGCGGCGGCGGCAGGGGAGCGAGGGAGCGGGACCAGACCGGTGCAGAAAGCACGACTCGCAAGCACGGGAAGCTTTGGCCGCGCACGTTTTCAGAGCCGGAGCCGCGGCGGCTTCCGTGTGTTTCTCTTCTCCTGGGAGCACCACACGAATGGCACACCATGGAGCGGGGCGCGCAACGCCGGCGAGGTGTCCGTGCTGCCTCCTCCTCCGCCGCCGCCCGCCGCAGTAGCAGAAGTCAGGAGCCAGACCCACCCCCTACCCGGCCAGGCGCAGAGCCAGCCCCTGCCCCGGCTCAGCCCCCTGCCCCAGCCCAGCCACCTACCGGGGGCACAGGGCACCTGCCCCCCCGGACCAGCCCCGGTGCCCTGCGGGCGGCAGGCGCGACCGCCCGGCCCTGCTCCGGGAGCCCCGCGGAGCTTTACCTGCACGGAGACGGAGCCAGAGCCGCATCTCCCACCCGGCTGCGAAACTCTGCCCGCTCTCCGCGCCCGGGCGCCGCCGCTGGGGCGGGGGCGGGGCCGCCTCGGCTTCTGCCCGCCCCCGAAAACATCCCCACCGCCCATTGGCCCGCGGCCTGTCCCCGCCCCGCCCCGCCCCGGCGGCCGCCTGCGCCCATTGGTGGCGGCCGCTGTGACGCGCCGCGGAGCGAGCCAGGGAGGCGGAGCGGGAGCGGAGCAGGCTCTAGCCCCGCCGCGCCCGGCTGCGGGAGCTGAGCCACACCCCTCTGCACTACACACAAAGGGGGAGAGATGCGGCCGCCCCGCCGGCCGCGCGCAGGCGCATAAGGCTGCCGCCCTCTGGTTTGCGGCTTGCTCCTCATTCACAAAAACCTTTTGTCTCGGCGGCCCAGCGCGCGCGCCGCTCCCTTTGCGCTGGTGCGCGCCGAGCGGGGGGGGCTGTGACTGTGACTGCGGGCTGGCAGGACTGGGCGTTCACTGAGCGTCTTCCACCCCCGCCCTGCTTCATGGCTGATCACGGGCCTTTGCTTTATATGGGGACTACAATAGCGCCCACACAGGAGGAGGCCTCACCCCCCCTCACCCCCCCCCAAGGAGTTCGCAATCGGAACGAACCTGAAAGGTTCAAACTCTCACCTGCTTAGTTCTCGTTTGCCTCACGCCGCACCGCTCCTCGTGGAACTAAGTTCTCTTCCGTACCATTACACAAAGTAATCCCGGGAAAGAAGACGTTACAGACCCATTGCACTAATAACACAGAAAGTTGCTGCAGTTCTGGGAGCCAGTGAACAAGGTGGTTACCCTCGGCACCAGCTTCTCCGGAGTGCCATCCTACTTCGCCGCTTTTTTTTTCTTTCTTTCTTTTTTTTGTTGACTCAGCCTCTCTGGGGGACCCTGAAAACATCATCTGCCCTGGCCAGCAGAACGCTTAGGTTCTGTCCCTGCTAGGGTTACCCATTCTGGTTGGATGTATTCCTGGAGGTTTCATCACATGACATAATCTTTAATTGAAGATTAATCTTTTCATTCCTGGATACTCCAGAACAATCCTGGAGGGTTGGCAATGCTAGGTCCTGCCTGGACTAGTGACGAGGACACCAGCTGTTAATTACGAATTTCACTAATGGGATCCATGCAGACAGTAAAATATGCTTGTGAAATAAGTGAACAAAGTACATTTGGGGATGCATTCTCTTAACTTTCTTATTGTTTTTGTTGACTTAGGTCCCGATTGTGCCATGAGCACCACAAGAGCAGACCACTCTGTGCAGGCAGACAGTTGTTGCAGTGATCTCCTGTGTGGAGCTCATTCATGAATGTATTGGGACCAATGTGAACAAAGGAAAGCAAGGAAAATGCATCACAAAATGTACCTGACTTTCTCAAGTGTACTTTCATTTTAAGCAGTTAAGAGTACGTATCCAAGTATACTGTTTAATGTTCTAGTATCTTTTCTAAAAACTGTGAAATCATAGTAATATGAGTCCTCTCTACAGTCATCCATGAATCCTTGCTAAGGGCAGAGCAGAGACACCTAATTTTGGATTAGAAATTCTGAGGTGTTTGTAAAAAGAAAAGGAGGACTTGTGGCACCTTAGAGACTAACAAATTTGTTTGAGCATAAGCTTTCGTGAGCTACAGCTCCGATGAAGTGAGCTGTAGCTCACGAAAGCTTATGCTCAAATAAATTGGTTAGTCTCTAAGGTGCCACAAGTACTCCTTTTCTTTTTGTGGATACAGACTAACACGGCTGGTACTCTGAGGTGTTTGTGTTTATTAAGTGTCAAATTAGTGAGGATCTCTCATATATAGCACTTTTTCAGTCACAGACCTCAGTGCTGGGAGGGGTTGCAAGCACTTTGAAGGACAGGATTAGAAATCAAAAAGACCATGACAAATTGGAGAATTGGTCTGAATTTAACAAGATGAAATTCAATAAAGATAATCACAATGTATTTCTCTCAGGAAGGAAAAATCAAAATGCACAATTACAAAATGGAAAACAATGCCTGGTTGGTAATGCTACGGAAAAGGATTTGGGGGTTATGGTGAATCACAAATTGAATATGAGTCAACAATTTGATGCAGCTGAAAAAAAAAGGCTAATATTATTCTGGGGTATATTAACAGGAGTGTTGTTTGTAAGACACATGAGGTAATTGTCCTACTCAGCTCAGCACTGGTGAGGCCTCATCTGGACTCCTGTGTCCTCTTCTGGAAAGATGTGTGCAAATTGGAGAGTCCAGAAGAGAACAAAAATATATATATATAAAAGGTTTAGAAAACCTGATCTATGAGAAAAGGTTAAAAAAACTGAGGAAAAGAAGACTGAGCAGAGACCTGGGAATCTTCAAATATGTTAAGAGCTATTATAAAGAGAACTGTGATCAATTGTTCTCCAGGTCCATTGAAGGTAGGACAAAAAGTAATGGGCTTAATCTGCAGCAAGTAGATTTAGCTTAGATAATAGGACAATCTTTCTAACGAAAAGGGTAGTTAAGCTCTAGAATAGGTTTCCAAGGGAAGTTTTGGAATCCCCATCATTAGAGGTTTTTAATAACAGACTGGACAAACACCTGTCAAGGATTGTCCAGGTTTACTTGGTTCTGCCTCAGCACAGGGGGCTGAACTTGATGACTTCTCAAGGTCACTTCCAGCCCTACATTTCTATGATGCTGTGATGAGTTTTAGAAACTTTTTACCATTCTTATGAAAGGGAAAACAGACAAAGATAGACTGAATGTTTGCAAACTAATAGGCTTTGTATTGAAACTCCAAATCACCCCACCTGTGCTACCAGCATCACAAAATCATGACACAATTTGCCACAATCTTGTAGCAATCTTCCTACATGTATATGCAGCATCCCCACAACACAATGTAGAATCACAGAATCAAAAATGTCAGAGATGGAAGAGGCCTATGTGATCCTTCATTCTATCTCTGCAAATGCAGGATGATCCCTTTGTCAATTCAGGGAATCTGTCTGTAAATCTTATTGGTCTGGTTGATATTATGAAGTTGCTATGAACATTTCTGTATCATGGAATGCGTCTATGTCAATGTGTATCCACCATTGCTGACAAAGCTGTAACCACGTCTCTCCCAGACTAGCTTCAATGAAGAATAGTTTACTTTAATGACTGAACTCTGACTGGTCAATATGCTAAGGAGGTTGGCTGAAGCAGGGAGAAGCCACTTCTTCCAGCTTGTCTATAGAGGCAGAGGTTTGGAGAGTGGACAAAGCAACCAGGTGTTGTTGGTGGGAAATATAAACTTAAGGGACTCACAGAGAGATTTGGGAGAGAGTCATGCTTTTGCAGGAGATGGGTTAGCTCTTAGACCAACCAAGGCTATAGAAAGTAAATTGACGTAGGGAGAGAGAGACTCCAGGGTTCAGATATCAAAGCATGAGCTGCAGCAAGAGGATCCTGACTCCAGCCCAAAGAATGCTCCAAAGTGGTGAGGAAACCAAAGCAGGTAATGTTACCAGAAAATTCTTTACCAAAGAGGGAAGCAATTTTTATAAAAGACTCCCTCCCCAGCTTCTATCTCTTGAATCAGTATCTAATCACCTGTGGTAATCCTCTAAATGAAATAGACCAGAGATAATTAGGGTACAAATAAAACAAGGGCTTTATTTATAAAACAACTCAATGGTTAACATCCTCAAAGACATAACACCTGGACCCCAAACTAACCAAATGTGGGTTACGAGGATATGAAATAAACTCTCTATTTCACCACTCCGCACAAAACTCGTAAGGAGCCAAACAGGAACCAAGGAGCCACACAGGGACATATGGGACCAACAGGACAGGAGCTGACAGGAGACCAACAAAACAGGAACCACAGCGAGGCCAACAGGAGCAAGGTAGGTGTCAGGAGCAGGAACCAGCATGATCTTCTCTCTTCTTGATGGAACCGAAACGCAAGCACGGGCTGCCATGCAGGCAGCACCCTGCACAGGGCTCAGCGCTCTTATATAACCTGAAGTTGCCAGGCAGATCTTACTTGTGACCTTTCCTTCTGAAGTCTTCCCACCAATGTGCCTGTTGCTGGGCAGATTTCAAGGAAAGGGCACCAACAGGCCAACCAGCAGGAGAACCAATATGGAGAATAAGGAAAAACAAAATGGCGAAATAAGCCTAACAGTAAATGTGTGTAGGATTTGTTATTTTTGTATATGTCTGTGCATTTTTTGTGTTATTAAAAAAGAGCAGTGGTGTTTTAGAATTCTGTGTGGTCTGTGTTATGGGTTACACCTCTCATGTGCCCTGGAAGAGGTAAACTGTAACCTAAAAGGCTCATGCCTTCAGGTGGGGTTTGGAAGAGGGTGTGTTTAAGCTACACAGGAAGTATGAGGAGATCAGCACTGGTCCCAGAAGCTGGGCTGTTGGACTATGTGGCCTCCTTTCCCCAGGAGGGTGTGGTAGAAGGAGGATCTGCACCCTGAGATTTTGCACTGCACCCTGAGAAACCCTAAGCCAGGGGCAGTGCCTGGGCTCTGTTCAGGCAGACAGAGCTCATGGGATCCAGCAGTTAGATCCCCTCGCAGCAATATGGTGAGTGCCCAAGAGGGGGTATTTGACCAAATCTGTGACAGTCCCTAGCACTACTCTTTCTAGGGTTCCTTTTAAAAATCCCAAGCAATAGGACTTGCATCACTTTTTTTGAAAGATAGGTTTACAGTCTAATGGAATTGATTGTCAGGAAATTTTATTGATTTCCAGCCTAAATTTTCCTTATTACTACAGGTTATGCCCCACTGAACCATCCAAACTAATTCCTTTCCCTCTTTGTGCTAACACTTCAAATATTTATGGACTATTGCCCTACAAGACTATTGTAGACTTCCCCAAATCCAACACTCATCTAAGCCACTCTACCTATACATACCTTCAACTTCTTTAGAATTAATGATGTCCAGAGCACCAATTCAGGAAAACATTTTTATTCAAGAAGGATGCTTAAGCATATGTTTAACTTTAAATACATGCTTAAGTCCAATTGAAGTCAATAGAATTTAAGCATGTGCTAATGTGATTTCCA